ACTGAGCCTGGTTCTGCTAGAGGTTTCGTCCTGTTAAAAGGGAGTTTTTCCTCTCCACTGTCGCTACAAGCATGCTTAGTGTGAGGGATTGCATACAAGTCAATGAGTCGATGCAAATCAACTGGTTTTCCTTAGATAGAAAACTTTGAATCAGTTTTTAAGACCTCTTTTAAAGAGCTGATGCTGCTGAAGTGGCCTGATATGATGCACCTTCCTGTCAGCGGTTATAAAGAAAAGACTTTACTGTATGTTTGCTGAGCTCTGACCTCATCTCTGATGAGCCAATAAAACTGAAAACTCTGACCTTTGACCTACAAACTATTCCTGGTGAAAAGATCCATTGTATTGCAGCCACCATGTGCAGCACACATACCTGACAGCACAAACTGTGCGGAAGATGTTTGGACTTCCGCACAGAGCTTCTAAACTAAACCATAGAAGCTGTGTTAACTTCAATAATGCTTGGAAACTTTAAACTCACACCTGTATGCTCTTTATTCAGCCTTATGCTCAGCAGGAAGCACAGCACGCTGGATTTCACTGTTCACTTCTGTTTTTGTCTTTATTTTCTGCTGTTTTGCGCTTATTTTCACAATATCCTGCAGATAGATCATATTTAGATACTATAAAAACACAGAGAGAAGCAGCCTGCAGCAAAGACAGTTTACCTTTAAATAAATCTACAAAAATCACCTCATATCAGACAATTATGTGTCTAACTATGAATAAAGTTGATCCGTAAAGAGCTGAGATGAAAACTACATGTATGAATGAAGAACAACAGTTATGATCAAGTTTCCAGAAGGGTGCGTTCGTTTCATTTATGGACTCAACTTCCACATAAACATCAATTTAACAGTTCAACCCGCAAAAAAAAGTAAAAATACTAATTAAATATATATATATATATATATATATATATATAATATGAGTGAATGTTTTTCACATTTAAGCGAAACAGCAGCAACATAACCAGGACAAACGGACAGTTCAGAGTTTTTTTTACCTGCAGGGTTGTTAAAAAGCGGCTCCTCCCTTCTATAGTTCCTCTTCTCGGTTCGCTGCCTGTCGGGTTTTCCTCGCCCTCCTTTCAGCTCCTCATGTCTAACAGCTTCTAACTGACTTATACACAAAGTTTGCGTTCAGAACAAAGTAGGGAGGAAAAAAAAGTCAAATACATCCCCGGAAGTGTTTTCTAAACGGTTTGTTTACAGAGAGCGTTCGGTTTACTGTCTGGGGCTCACCGGAGGGGCGGTGGTATTCAAAGGTCGACGGCGGGGCGTTGGAGTGACGTTGGTGTTGTTTCATAGGGGTTAAATGGGCTGGCTCTCTTTTTAGTTCCAGACTAGTTAGTTTAATAAACTGAATAGAACCAAAAACATTTGGATTACTCTTTCACAGCTGTGATCTGGCCCACAGTGGCAGCAGCACGCGACACAGACAAACAAACAAAAAAGCTCATATGTGAAAAATATGACAATTTATATTTGTATAATTACATTAGCAAAATATATCTGAAGCCCTGATAGTATTGGTGAGTTTGGTTTTTTTAAGATGAAATGGAAAACTATCAATTAAACAAGGTCAAACTGTTTTAGCCCAGTATGAAATGAATAGA